GTGGTAATGAAGGAGGTGAGAGGCACCTGAGGATTAGGGAGGATAAGCAAGTTGCCTGAAGAGTTGCACAACCCAGAACACAGACGATCAGGAATCTGAACCCAGGCTGGCCTTCCTGCAAAGCCCCTGAGCTTGTGCGATTACGCCAACATGGTTAGAAGATAGGGAAGAGACTGAATGCGGGGTTGGCACTTGCTCGACCCTCAGAGTGAGTGTCTCCTTAAAATGTGTGCCGTAGAAGGCTCTGTGGCCTCACCCTCATCCTGGTCCCAGGACTAAGCCTTTATATTTCAGGTGTCTTGGTCAAGGTCAGAACCCTACCCCAGGGACGTTCTACAGCAGTTTGTGAATTGACTGGGAGGCAGGAGTGGAATTGCTGTTGGGACCCAACTGCATATGTTGTGATAATGTGGGAGATCTGAGGGAGTCCCATAGAGACAGACAGACTGCCTTGATCCCTTGAGGAAGGCCACACTACTTGACTTTGTGCTGTTGGCATAGCTCTGCAATCTTTAATTCCAAAACACTCTTAATTCAGTCTGGTTCATTCAACAAATAAACAAGTTATAATTCTTTTACCAGCCACTGTGATAAGTACTGGGAATAATAAAAGCCAGCAATCTTAATAAAATAAAACATAATCTGTCCTTGAGGAATTCTCACTTTCGAGCCATGACCACAAGAAATAAATTTTAAGTGTGGCACGCACGTACACACAACTGAAACAAAGGTTTTGCGCAACTTCTGTTTATAGTGTGCCACATGCTTGGATATTCTCTGTTCTCTTTTAAAATGTGCCGGTCACAACCTTCTAAACTGACTTTATGACCCACTAGTGGGTTGTACTACAAGACCTAAAATTTGAAGGACAAAAAAAGGAGAAGGGGAAGCAGATACATAAATAAATGGATGTAGAGAGCCAGTGGGAGAAACATAAGGCTGAAAGCATAGGCTGAGGCCATGTGAGGAAGGACCTTGAGTGATATGATAATGAATTTAGTGGTTCTCCTATAGCTAACAAGGAGACCATAAAGGTTTTTAGGCGAAGGAGTACTTAATAAAAACTTTTAAGAAGATAGCATTTGCAATGATGGAAGAATCATTCAAATAGTATTTTAGTAATGGAAGCAAAGATGTTAAGCCTCAAATGGAAGCTGTGGCATTTATTCATTCATCCACTAATTGATTCACATTTGCCAGCACCGTGTCAGATGCTGGAGTGACAAGGTTGAAAAACATACAAACCCTGCCTTCAAGGTGTTATGGCCGATTGGAAGATATATGATGCAGACATCAATTATAAGACAGAGTAATACGTATTCTGAGAGTATTGCAGAATTGGGTGAAGAGGAAGAGTGGAAAATCTGCTTTTTCCCTTTATTAATAGTAAACTTTGACTCCGAAGTCAAATATAGATGGTTTGTATATTCCTTTTAAAAAATAATACTGTCGGCTGGGTGCGGTGGCTCACGCCTGTAATCCCAGCACTTTGGGAGGCCGAGGCGGGTGGATCACGAGGTCAAGAGATCGAGACCATCCTGGTCAACA